TTCACCACCAAATCATACGCGTTATTCTCCGGAAATGGTAATAGCGAATTCGTTCCCCACCGCAGACACCTGCGGTCCGGAGTTTTGCAAATATCTCAGCATCTTTTTGGCTATAACATATTACATCAAGGTAACACATATTACAGGAATTTGTTCCACGAAGATCAAACGATTGGTTTGTTTTATATCCCCACGATCACATATTTTTGTCAATTTCTATCTGGCATCTGTGCTGTAAGCTACATCCAGCGGTGTAAATCCCGTTCTGCATAACAAAGTGGTTCGTCTACTCAATATTTGTTTCTCCGCAATTGCATGTCTCACATGAATTTGAAGGGCAACATTTTGCAGTGAAGACTCCTACTGGAACCACTTAGTTACTTGATTCTTGAATGGGCCGTCTTCACTGGTTGTGCGGGCGCTAGCATAATCTCCATTTTTCGGAGATTCGCTGGTTAAGCTATTGTGGTTCTCTGGAGTCCTGAGGTCACCCTGGTCGATGTCTGCCCCAGGTCGTCACCACCACAGGTAGACGCCGCCGTTGTGGATCAGAGGGAGATTTGCTACAATGCAACTAGCTTGATATCAGTGGATTCAGTGGTGGATTCAGGTGGTAGTGGTTTACTCTTAGCTGGGCTTTCTGATGGAAATGCTGGACTCCTCAGTTTGGAAGGCCCTGTTGGAAGGATGATCCTCTGCTGCACATCACAGCCCTACAAGGAGCACCTCCCAACCACGATGAGGCGGTGAACCGTTGGAAGGCTTACTGGAGCCACGGAGGATTAAAATACACAAGTCGTTGAAAGAGTTGGACAACATTTCCTCAAATCCTGTGCATTTTCTCTATTGGGACTGTTAAGTTGGTGTCAACTTCTTTCACATTCCTGAATTTCACCATAAATCGGTCCCGAGGACACATATTATATTAGAACGGCTGGATTTCTATTTGTAGAGGAAGTGTGAAGATTAACAATCATTGAGTTAATCTGCCAACTAGTAGTCACTGCTATTGGTGTTCTCGCTAGTAAATAATAACCAGCCCTGCAAAAGTTCACTCCATTGTACCACTTTCAGTAGGAAAACACGGTTTATGTATTGGATTTCTCTACTTTGATAAAGTATTAAACAATACAGTGTTCAGCACTAACATGCCATTTAAGTTTACACGATACATCGGACTTCGTCAAACATCGTAGAGGTGATTGAACGCGTATTTTGACTGTTCATTGACTTGTGATGGCCTAGTAATGTACCAAGTCAGTACTTTTATCCTCCTTTGGTAGCCTGATACCAATTTGCCCAGCATTTAGGGAGCGGGGCTTGGTTAGCCCTAACAGCTGAGCCTAATCGAGCACACAGCAGGAAACCTCTAACCGCCGCTTTACAGGCCTGGTTTCACAATGCTCCTTAAATATGATTACTCTTTTATATAAACAAAAACATTTTATGTCTACTGTATTATCTCTTAAGGAGTATCACCGCAAACTTCATCCACCACTACACGTTTATTTTGTGTTACTACAATCGATCAAACGGATGTATCATCTGTCTTAGCACGGCATTTTGATGTTCTTAAAACATATGTCGAATGAAAATAACATGCAACGGTGATATCGAAGCGGTATAAAAGCCGATAGGATCGGTCTGCATCTTCATTTCAATTGTTTTCAGGTCAACAGTTCCGTCCAAATGTCGAAACTCGTTCTCACAAATGAGCACCTGGATGACATCATCAAGCGCTTAAACAGTCAGTTGAGTTTTTGCTATTAAGGAGTACTTTCAAGTGGGGCGTGTTTTTTAATGTTCTTGTCAGAATCAAGAGCGTGTGACGTTGGCAATAACTTTCCAATTGAGATGAGGTAGTAACCTTTACTTGATAGAAGAACATTTTCATATAGTCACATTTCACTACTATGCCTAAGAAAGTTTTTCGGCCAGATTATTCACTGCTTTGCTTACGGCAACTGTGCTTTGCCTATGTAAATGTTCCTGGAAGGATTGCCATTTGAGTGAAAGATTTAGTCCACTATGCTCTGGTCCTAAGCGACATGCTTTGGCTTCGGTCGTCGTTTCTCATCTTGCGACTGAAAGTATTCGTATGGAATATGCTAATTTGAATCACTACAAAGCGAAAGGAAGCCCCAATCATATACCACACTGTGATAGGATGGTCACATCCCATGGAAAGCATTCTGTTCTAACGAATCATATTTGAATCATATTATATAACAGATCAGTGGAAGAACTTGCTGAGACTCAATTACACCATACCGTTGAAAAACGCCTACTTCTTTTTTCTCGAAAAAGTCGATACACCAGCTATAGATGTTAATACGTAGAAGCTGACGATGTAAACTTTTTTCGATGATTCGACTGCAGTCCAAACATTATGAGGCATGGTAAAGACTCTCATTTTAATCGACATCAATGAAACCGGTAGGTAAATGACCAGAAAGGACTCGATACGATCAGTAGACAACCCGTAGACTATACTGATTGATGTCTAAATGAAGTTGTCGCAATCTTTAATTAGGTACCTGAAAGCGGCATAGCATCTATAAATTATCATTTTGCAACATTTCAGAAGATAAACCAATCCGATCTAGCTACCATGGGTCACAAAATGAGAGCTACTAAGGGCACTCACTATGTGAAATGGAAATTTCAGGCCTTTACAATCGATTGGACATTTGCATTGTCAACGTGGTCTCTTTTTATGAGGTCGTCGCAATTATTAACCAAGTAGGTGGAAAAGTAAAAGTGGGGTAAGTAGGGTAGGTAAGGGTAGGTAGTGGGTAGGTAGTGGGTCTAAGTACAATTACAACTGTAAATGAATTGCACATTTACACAAAATATTTCAACATATAGCTGCTCAGACTATAATTGAACACTTGGATATTTGGACGGACCGTCCTCACTAGTTGTGCGGGCCCCAGAATAATCCCTATTTTTCGGAGTTTTGCTAGTTTAGCTATTGTTTTCCTGGAATCGCGAGAACAGCCTAGTCAAAGTCTACCCCAGATCGTCATCAACACAGGCAGTCGCAGCAATTGTGGATCAGATGGAGATTTGCCACCATGCGACTGGTTTGATATCACGACGGTGGTCGATCCTGGTGTTTGTTTACTCTTAGCTAGGCTTCCTAATGGAAAAGCCAGAAAAGAAAAGTAATTGGATAACGATGACAAACAATAATACCTACAAGGAACTTTACTGCAGGTCAACTTAACCTTGGGAAACTAGCACGTGTGGTAAGCCCGACCACGTCGAATTTTTAGCCGCGCGCAGTGAGGATTGAAATCAATTCATTCGGTTCAGTTTGCTCACAAAAGCAAACACACCCTTTTTGTTGCTATTTACGCTGTACAATTCGCCTTTTTCGTGAACTCTTGGGATCATTCGATGTGTTTTTATGTTTAGTGTATCCTCTATGCTCTCCTCTGAATTGTCCCATGAGTTTGGAACATATCCAGTACCTGTGCGGTGGAAAGAAGCCTTATCCAATACTTCAATCGATAGGACGGGGTTAGGTTAAACCTAAAAAGGTTAAAGCTCTCGGCGTTGATCAATCTCTGAAGGATGCGCCATGCATTCGACTTCACTCAGCATCGTTTGGAGGTGATTGAATGCATATCTGGCCTTTACAATGACTCGCGATGGCCTATCGATGCATCGAGCCAGTGCTGCTATCATCCCAGACAACTTTGATACCAGTTTACCGACCCCGGAGTGATGGAATGCTTGGTGGATCATGGGCGCGAAGAACGATTCTACGTGTGTTGCAGGGCGCCTCCGACCACTGCGCCACATGCGCCCAGTGAAATACGTAGTCCTTCAAAAGATGCATTTTGGTGAATGGAAAATGCGTTCCTGTATAGTCCTTATGCTTACTACAACAGCATCTACAGAAGTTTCCTCAGTGATTTAGCATCTTGTCGTGGCTATGGATTGTTCATAGTTTCGAACTTTAACCTGCTAGTACACAAAAAATGTTAGTACGTGTCGCTGGACTAAAATCCAACGAAGAAATTCCTTCAAAAAAGAGGCTTTTTTATAAATTATCAAGCGTAGAGAGAAGTTTTTAAGTACAACAGCAAAGACAAGTTCTGTGTTTGAAGACCTTTAGAACAGATGCAAAAAGTACAGGATGAAAGAACTCTTCCTCTCAAAACAGATAGCCGGGAAAGTATGCACTTAAGGTAACACGTGGGATTCGTATTTCTCCAAAACTTGAGCATTGGTACCAATGCAAACAATCATAAATATGTGGTAAGCAGCGGTAAAAAAAACTCAAAAACGTGAAAATATCAAAGGCCATTCTATAGATAAATGCTCACATGGATCGATGATAGAGACAAATCAATAAATTTTAAACTTGGTCAATCTTTTATTTTCTGCCTACTATAAGTTTTCACGGCAGGGTATGATGTGAAATACAGCTACAACGATGAGATATTTGCAAAACTTGGACACCAAAAAAAACCCTAGGCCAGATCGAACCACGATTACCAATTCCAGGGTCTCGCATATTACACACTGCTTCACCGAGGCCCTTGCTTTGCGTTTCTCTCAGCCATTTTTCTACCTAACGTTACCATCAGTAATCACCAGCCAGCGAGGCTGATCTGGTGAGCACGAAGCGACATTGAAATGTGTAATATTGTGTCATGAAAAATTATAGCTGGCAGCAAGTAAAAGATTAACATCGTGATTTCGATTACAGTCTCAGCTTAGCTGAGAATGCGGTTTGTGTTCCCCAGATCAATCGCAGTGACGGGTGATTGCTGATGGCAGCGCTTGGTAGAACCCTAGCTGAGAGAAACCCAAAGCAAGTGCCTGCCTACGTGGTGCAGTGTGTAACACGCGTACCTCTGGAAAGGTTAATCACGGTCCGATCTGGCCCGGGGTCCAAGTTTTGCGAATATCCAAATTTGGTTTCAAAAATTTTTACAAAGCATGGAGCTCATCTTTTACCAAAGAGCAATGTGACACTATTGTAGGTCGCATTAATGTTCATGGAGGAGAGCAATTTATGCGAATGCGAAGTCCCAATAAAGGTTATCGGTGATATCCATGCTCAATACCAGGTACATTAAAATCTTCAAATTTTCTGCTTTCATAAAAAAACTAAAACATAGCTTACGTAGCGAACTCAGAACCTTCTCGTAAACTCGAAAATAACACAGATAATAATGAGTCAAAACTGGGCTGTTTTCTTTTAAAGGATATGAACCGCTTGTTTGACCTTGTCGGTCGAGTACCAGAAGAGAGATTTATCTTTCTCGGAGACTACGTTGACCGAGGACCACAAGGTGTTGAGGTAATATTGATGTCAGAGAAATTTCCGATTACTGAATACTGTGGATCATATTTAACTAGTAGTGTGTCTTCATGTAGTGTAAAGACTGAGGATTTCAATCATTCTGTAGTTGTAAGATCTAAGCAGAGTAGACCGTGACAGTAACCGGCAAATTGCACCACCAACATTACAAGGCATTATTTATTGGTTTCTTCCATAGGAGATGATCAAAACAACGCTTTAATCTAGGATTTTCGATAACTAATGACAATTTCTCGATAACTACAGTATTTCAGGAGTTCACTACTTCAGTGAATCATAGAGGAGACTTTGCCTTATAGCATCAACCACAAACGTGCTTAACCACCATAGAGTGACATAAATAAGTCTCAAATTCAAACTCTCAAGAAATTAGAAATTAGAAACAAAGTATAAATTTTAAAAAGTTCCAACACAAGAACTTCAAATCCAAATGCAAACGATACATTGGGGAACACCATCGTGTCCTGGTAATCGGATTACGCCCATTCACTTGGCTTCGTTTTCAAAAAACCACCCTTAAGGAAATGAAGTGGGAGGGATGCGTAGCACAAGACTAGGAAAATGTAGTTTCGTATTGTAATAATGTAATTTGTACCATGTATGTGAAACCTGTGGAATTAATAGTTTTTCTTCCAAAAAGTTGGTTTAAAGTTGAAGGTAACTGATAATTTTGGATTAACTAAGTCATTTACAACGCACTTAGGGCGTTTTGCGTGCGTTTAAGCACATGGCTGAAATTAAAGTCTATTTGCCATCGATGATTGAAAATTTTTGATTGCAACAAGTATCCAATCACTTCACGCCTACTGGTGTGCTTATGCGTTTTGGTAGAGCTTCTTTCTACTTAGTGGCCTGGCACTAGCTTTATACTCAGCGACGCCATACCTCGCTGGAACTGCCGAAGTGCGAGAACCGTCTCATGGAATCGTTCCAGGTCATTATTCTCTTGTTCGCTCTTAAACTTCGTTATCGTGATCGCATTTATCTGCTTCGTGGAAATCACGAGACTCCAGCTGTGAACAAAATCTACGGTTTCTACAATGAATGCGTTATGAAGTACGGTGCTGGAATGTGGTGGGACTTTCAATGGTGTTTCAATCGAATACCGCTTGCTGGACTCATTTCGAAGAAAGTATGTCAATTGGAAAGTTCGACCGGTTTCGATCCTTAACACTAAAAAATAATTCCAAGAATATTAATAAATGAAGGCATAACAGTCGCCCAGTATGACAGCACGTGAGAAATATAGGATGTGCAGTACTTGGTCTCTATAAGCTCCAAGTAACATAAACTCGGAAAAAAGCCCCATAACAGTTCCCAGGATCGACTTTCTGTTAAGTTCGGCATATGAATATGAATGCGCTGTTTTCTTGTTCAGCAATTGCGCCTCATAGCTTGTTGGAATTCTTCACAGTATCTTATTGACCTTAGCAGTTGCCAATTTGTAGATCATTTTCCCGCTTGTTGCACCACGCTTCGTGCTATCCTGGTCAGAAAGTAAACAATGATTACTATAGCATGAATTCAGTGTGAGTAGTTTTCTAGGTTTTATGCATGCACGGAGGGCTATCACCAGAACTGAATCATCTGGATGTGATTCGCAACATACCTCGTCCGTGTGAACCTCTCGATCGTGGATTGCTCATCGATCTTACGTGGTCGGATCCTACTAATAAGGGAGATGGGTGGTTCCACTCCATCAGAGGTAGGGACCATTTATATTGCTTAACTAGCCTTCATAAAAAAGGACGCATGTGGCGCAGTGGTTGGAAGCGCCACTGCGACACACACGTAGAGTCGATCCCCGCGCCCATGGCCCGCCAAGCCTTCCATCCTTCCGGGCTCGGCGAATTCGTACCAGACTTGTCTGGGAGGATAGTAGCACTGGCTCGATACATTGCTAGTCATTGTAAAGGCCAGATATGCATTCAGTCAGTTCCAACGATACTTAATAAAGTCGAACGCATGACGTATCCCTCAGAGATTAATCAACGCCAAAAGCTTTATCCTTATTCTTTAATTAGTCTTCACAGCGTATTCGTATTACAGTCGCAGTACCTCTTAACCTATACGCAAAATCACTCCAACGTTTGCGACTAATTAATAATCGAAAAGTAATTAAGTGATGTCAGGAATTGGTCAATATCAACGATAGAAACCACCTAAGATTTAGGTCGTTGTGTCATGGAGCACTGTCATGCACTGCACTGTGTCATGTGTCATGCCATGTCGACAGACGCTTTATAAAGACCGTTCTCTCATGTTTCAGGGATCAGCTACATGTTTGGGAAAGGTGTTGTTCAACAAGCTTGCCAAATGCTCGGCATAGATTTGATTATTCGTGCACACCAGGTAAGAACAATGAAATTAGCACAGAACTGCAAGGAAGGAATTACATCTTTTTGCCTTAATTAGTAGAAGTTTTAGCACTAGGCGCATAGTACTTCGGATTCCATGTATTTCATTTGGTAGGCTTCACTCCATATATTTCACTTTTAATTTTCAAAATGGATTAAGGTAGTTCAAGACGGTTATGAAATGATGGCGGGACGTCGACTCATTACCGTATTCTCGGCTCCGAATTACTGTGGACAGTTCACAAATGCTGCGGCTATTGTTTGTCTTGATGAAGATATGCAGGTAAGGCAAACCTTCAAGCGATCAGCTTCAGTCGTGTCTTTGTGTGTTATACCTGTACAGACCAACACAACGGATTCAACTGCTTTCCTTCTCTGATGCTCACCTTTCATAATATTTATTTCATGCATGATGAAGTCAAAAACTGGGTTCTGCTGATTGGAGATGGTTTCTTTAAGAACATTAAAAGAGATCCACGCTGTCTGTGTCATGTCTTCTTCTAAATTTCATCAATTTCTCCAAGTCGCTCATGCATAGTGTTTCAAACACCACACGAAAGAACTGCTCCTTGTAACCCATATAACGTCTCTAGATACGTTTTCTACCGCCTCTGAGGTCCTACATGCGTTGGCTTCTCTCTAGTCATTGAGTTCTTGGGGTATCGCCTTTAGGTAACCGGTACCTAAATTGATGATGATTTCCTCAAGGAAGTGTACTTTTATCGTGAATTTCCTACATACGTATCCTACTGTCGTCTCAGTCTGCACTGTACACTATAATGCAGCGGAGAATTACTTGGACGACAAGATATCGCTAGTAGAAATCGGTGAAAAAGCTGAGTCGCCATAATGCACTAACTATAACAGTCGGCTAGGGTTCTTAATTGCTGAGGATACATTCAGTTGTCTATCAGCTATCTTTTATATGATGACGTTCACTTCAATGCCTTCAAACATAATAGAGGTTCTAGCAAGAGATTAAGTGATCGGACTCAGCTACATAAAGATAGAATCATACGTTTCAATTCAGATTTCATTCCAACAACTGAAAATGCAAATTCCCGCAAATCTGGCATCAAAGGCTAAACCGGCTCCCGCAGTTGCTTGTGATCCAAACGCTGCCAACGCTAAAGCAGACAAAGCATCCATCAAACCGTTTACGGTAAGCTCCACAAAGAACGTTGGATCCTCCTGCGAAACCTCCGAAAATTGTTAAGAACAGAAAATCTGAATCGTCATCGAATTCATCTGTTTATACTTTCAGTTTTTATGGTTTCAAATAACGCATAACACCCTTGATAACAAAAGATTTCGAAATTCTAAACTGATCTGGAAACCAAGTAGAAAATCTCCGAAATGAATAAAGCCAGTCATATTTCAGGGATTCAAGAAAAGCACTATTCAGTCAGTATCGGAGGAACCGTCTAAAGGAGCACTCGTGCCCACTTCGACTACTGTCCCGTCAGCTAATCTGCCTCCTGACTCTTTGATGGCGCCTCCGACTGGTACAGAAGCAACTCCAGCTAGCACGGACTCCGCAAAATCTGTAAGCGTTGAGAAAACGGATGGTGGAGAGACACCGAAAGCTCCAGAAGGGAAAGTTGCAAATGCAGATCCCACGAAAACTACGGTATAAGTTTGTTCTCTTGTAAGACACATGAAATACGAATTTAAAGATGGTGAATTTACCAGCCCCATCCAGCGCAAGCGCTAAGCTAGCTACTCGGGAAAATCTATTGTGGCACTTATCAAAAAACCTATTACAATAATTATCTTTATATCAAACAACTACTAAGAAATTCCAAAGCATTCGAAGTGATTACAGAAAACTGGAGGAAGTAGCTTCAAATTTTTAGCAAGTACACAACAAACGTCTTTTATTAATAAACAGTAGTTGAAGTTTGGGCAGTTTCGTCTTCTTCAACGTCGAGGTTAAGAGAAAGTTGGCCTTGGGATTTGCTACACAGCGAATTAACCACATATGTTGTAAAATTACGTAAAAAATACTGACGAATTTCGAACAATGGATCATGAAAAACGGACAACTTAGAATGAGGTTTCTGGCTCAATATCGGCCTACGCTTTGAAGAAAATCGCAATTGCTCAGTTCGCTTAACCGGTTAAGGGAGAGAAACGTTAGGAATGAAGGTCAATTGTCCGTTGTCCAGAAAACAATCCCAAGACAGGACATTGATACCGTAATTTGGGGTCACAAACTCATAAATCTTTCACAGACGGTAATTTTTGGAACTGTATATGTTTATTTTAAGGAAACAGGAAAAGAAACTCCGGCTGAGGGCAAGGTACCAGCAAATTAAACAAACTAACCGTTCATCATATTCTACAACGACGTTGGTATTGCGAAAAATAAATGTGATGAAAACCGATAATTATCAGTGTTAGTACAACCAACAAAGAAATGATGAAAACTAGAAACGGTAACGTCGTGGTATGAACACAGAGGAGAACACACGAGAACTACCCGCTTTTTCAATGAAGGTTACCGATGAGTATTAAATTATGACTGACCCAGTTCCTAAGCACCATTAGAAAATTTTAGATTTATTAGAGCTGTAATGTTTACTGCGGAGAAACGGGTCGTCCAGTTAGCCGACCACATCGGGATTTCGGTTTCCACAACCTCGATATTGCTTGCTTTCGTGTAACCTGAAACCTTACTGCATTAAAGTATAGGAAAACCCACTAAAAGCACATATGAGACATATGTAACCGTCAATACTCAAAGCTAAAATCTGCAAAGTACAAAGCATAACTCAATATCGGTTCCTTGACAAGCAACGATAATTTCTCTATAACTAGACGAATTGGAGGTTAACACTTTATGAATGTGTCGTTTTCTTGCTCAGCAATCGCGAGGTTTTTAAACAGCATACATTTACTCTGCCTTAGTGACAATGCTTCCTTCACAAGTCGAAAGTATTTTGCTGGTACATCTTGTAATAGTTCCCAGGATCGACTTTCTCTTAACCTCGGCATTGGAATATGAATGTGTCGTTTTCTTGCTCAGCAATCGCGAGGTTTTTAAACAGCATACATTTACTATTAGTTTAGTTAACACATTTAGTTAACACTTTATTTTATGGAAGAGAGTTCTAGCGCTACAGTATGCGTGGTATGTATGCCACTATGGTTCGCCATACAATCCTACTGCCCTCAGTATTTGGAAGTACTATACAGCTTACTTTGAGCAGTTTTTTGAATTTTTACGACCACAATTCCATAAGTCCATGATGTGGTAAAAAGCACGTTTCAGAGTGCAAAGTAAAATCTCATATAACACATAATATGCAAGGTACATCAAACTAAAGAACACTAAGGAACACCGAATTGTCACAATTGCTCGGTGAACCATAATGAGAGAACCAATAAACGCCAGAGAACTTTCTATTTGCAAATTTGTGTTCGTAAAAGTGCAAATGTCGCGTTCCAGGGATCATGAATATACGGTAGGTATAAGTAGATACGAAATAACAGAGGTAAAGAGACCATTTCTTGAACTTAATTGGTTTTCAGAGTAAGCATTTCCACTGTAGGTTTTAGACCGCAATTCACATGTTGCGTAGCCTAAGAAGTAATGTACTCGAAACCCCTAACGATGAAGACCCAATAATCGACAGAGAAGACACTAAGAGTACCTAATGCGACCAGAAGCAGAGAGAATATTTAATACAGTACTCCACCCACCTAAGTTACATTTTTAAACCCGAGGGAGACATGTAACAGAGTCAAAATTTATAAAGCCATGCATACTTGAAACAAAAAATGAGATTATGGTGATCGACACATAATCAGCATACTCAGGAATGTGTATATACAAATAAAACTGAGAAGACGACAGCAACGACTGTGCCCTAAATGGGTTGTGTATCGGAAATCAGTTTCGCAACGTTTCAATTCTCTAGTCTTTACAATACGGCAAACCATCTACTTTAATGACTCAATTATCAAATTGAAGGCTGATAATGATGATGATGCTGTGCCCCAGGCCTACCGAGCTCTTCATTCTTCCCGGGTCGTCAAATTGTTACCGGACTTGTCTGGATGGATAGCAACACTAGCTCGACACATCGGTAGGGCAGAGCGAGTTACTGTAAAGGCCAGATATGCATTTAGTCACCTCCAACGATGCTTAATGAAGTCGAATGTATGGCGCATCCTCCAGGGATTGAGCAACGCCGAAAGCTTTATCATTTTTATTCTTGTTTTCAACAATATTTGCAGCAGTGGCCATGACTTTCACGTATATCTCATTTCCTTTCCTATTGCGCTATTTTAGGTTATAACGGACATTGATCTTCTTTCTCGAGGAGATACTTGGCATCAAATAGAAAACGGACATATTCTGGATAGGTTCTTCAAGAGTACATCTCGTTCCCATATTTCTATAGTACTGTAAACTGACTGAGAACCTTGGGACACTTAACTAATTATTTAAAAGTACAGAAAGGCTTCAAGCATTGAACATTCAACTTGAGGTGGACATCACCTAATTTATCTCTCCATCTTCTCGTGAACGCTTCTTTGCCTCTTTTTTGGAGTCCGTACTCCGTGAATCTTCATCGTTCAGTTGACCAAATACCTTCATCGCGTAGACAATGTAATCGTTGACATCGTTCAGAACATTTCTCGATGTCACACAATGCACCGCGACAGCAATAAGTTCGTCGGCATTGGCTAATGAATAGGCTACACTTCATTTAAAGCATTATAAGACTTAACATTCAACGAACTGGTGAATGTGTGAGATAAACTTCAATAGAAAAAACCTACACGGAGAAAATCAATATCTAATTTCACTAACCAATGCACATATTGACAAAATCCGGCAAGAACGTGATTGCTTGACGTGCCACATCGAGATCACTGGACTGGATTCTATTGATATAAGCCTCTTTAAGCTGACTTCGTGTCTGAAATGTAGAAGGTTCCTGCAAAACAAAGCTACTTAAGCCTAAAAGACGACGCCTACACAGCAATGCAGATGAGCAGGTAATAAATTGCAGTATGTTCCTGGACATGTTCCTCTACAATATCGTTCGTGACTTATGGTAAACACAGCAAACTTTACTTGCTCACTTGGATATTTGAATGGCTCGTACTCATTGGTTGTGTGGGCCCCACCAAAATTTCCATTATTTCGGAGTTTTGCTGGTTTAGCTATTGTGTTTCTCTGGAGTCTAGATGTCAGTCTAGCCAAAGTCTACTCCAGGTTGTCACCACCACAGGCAGTCGCCGCCCTTACGAATCAGCGGGAGATCTGCTACCACGAATTTGCAACTAGTTTGATACCAAGAAGGTGTTGGACTCTGACATTGCTTTACTCTTAGCTGGACTTCCCGATGACAACGCCAGACTCCCCAGCTTCAGAGACCCCGTTGGGGAAATGAATCCCTCCGGTATACATTGCAGCCCGACACCCAGGAACACCTTCCAGCTACGATGAGGCGGCAAACCGCTCGAAGGTATTGCAAACTACATTGAATTAACCAAACTAGTTTGTGAATAGAGGGCATGAACAAAAAGCTCCTATGATATTGAATTAAATTAACCAGTCAAAACAAATTTACAAAATGATAAACCTGTGGTCGTTGCCCAATGATATCCAGAGCGAATCCAAAAGCCGAGGCTCGGATTGATTCAATAGGTGAGTTCATTAACCGAATAACATGAGGAATCAACTGTTCACAGCTGAAACTTTTGTAAATGAAATAGGAAAGGAGAAAAAAGCAGACAGAAAGAGAAATATTGGGGGTAAGTAACAACTAACAATAACAAGGCCGAATTTAAAACAGAATAACCTTTAATAACGTAATGAATAAATTGTCCACTTAGGCAATACTAACTTATTCCATAGTTCTACCCTGTAATATAATGCGTCTCATGCAAAATTCAAAAAGCAATGCAATGCGACCATGGTAGGATTACTTCCAAAAGACACATTTTAAGTTAAAAATAGGCAGGAATTTTCAGCACGTGACCAAAAATTATATTTGTTCCTATTCTGGTAAAGCTTGATTCTAAGATTTGCAGTAAAAAAGGATAAGGTTCTCGGCGTCGACCAATACCTGAAGGATGCGCCATGCATTCGACTTCATTCGTAGCATCGCTGGAGGTAACTGAATGCATATTTCGCCTTTACAATAACTCTCGGTGGGGTACCGCCAGTGCTGCTATCCCCCCTGACACGTCTGGCACCGATTTCCCTTTTCACGCCGGAGGGATGGAGGGCTTGGCGAGCTTGTGGCGCAGAGATCGATCCCATGTATATTGCAGGGCGCCTCCGACCACAGCGCTACGCACACCCTTAGATACTTCCTTGAACAAAATTTAGAGTAATGAAGCTTACGGAAGAGCCTTACCACTCCGGGTAGCGACGAATTGCAAACTCAATATCGTCAACGATATCATCGTGTTGAAACGCCATTTCGGCCAAATTCATACGTAAATTAATACCATCCATTTCTAACCTACCTAAAGATCAGAAGAGTACAAACGATCGAGAAAATGCTATCGAATAATGAATATGGTCCACTCCACAAAATTAAACCAAGTAAAACACTTAGGGACAATTAAAACCTGGAAAGGAGACATCAGCTGATGACCATTAGTGCAGCGCAGTAGCAAATTCCCTGGAATACACTTTTGGTCTTTGGCCCATTTCATAGCCAGGGCGTTGGCTGTGGCTAAGATCTGGAAAAAGCTTTGAAAGCGCTATCCTAGGAACTTATGCAGATTTACGTTCGACCAACACGCAACCACATTCGTTCATTTTTGCTCGGAAATCTCAAGTATAAGCCAAATCCATGGTCAAATTCGGCGCTTTTGTGGACGACCACACGAACAGAACGAAAGAAATGGTGGGATGTGGTGGGATCAGCAAACACGTCAACGTATATAGTAAGCATAAGAATGAAACTTTCAGCATCGATTAGTCCCTAAAAGATGCGCCATGTATCCGACTTTACCAAGTATCGTTAGAGGTGTCTTAAAGCATATCTAGCCCAAATAACGAATTAGAGTGGATTAGTGACGTATTACGCTAGTACTTTTCTCCTCACAGACAAGTCTGGCATCAATTTACCGGGCTCAGAAAGATGGAGGGCATATTGAAGTTCAGGCACGGGATCGAACCAACGACCATACGAGTATTGAAGGACACCTATAACTACTGCGCTACACGCGCCCAGAACAGGGACCATTTAAAACAAAGTCAGACCAAAAAATATTGCTATATATCGGAAAAAAGTGCATAGGATTAGATCGTATTTAAAATGTGGTATACTCGAACTCTTTCGCGCGCTCTATTGCAAAAATTTTCCCATACGACGAATTCGATTAGAGCATGAAATCTACACTCACACTGTCAGTCGTCAAAAGTGGTTTACGTAAGTCTTTTCACTTGTAACTGTTTCTTTTGCTAGATAGTTAATATTTTCAGTTAGTTAGTATGTTAACAAGCAGTGCAGAGTGCAGTTCACCGCGAATTTTTGCTCCAAGTTCGTTGATATTCGATGATTCTCAGTTATGCTTCAACAAAAATCACTTCGGACGTCCGGATTTCAACGTTCAGCGTTTTATGAATCTTGCTCGGCGGTAATATTTAGCAGTATTGATGTATATTTTCTCAGAAGTAGTGAATTCATATCCTTCTTTTTGTAGTTTACGGTTTATTGATTGGTACTGGCTTTTTAAGTCGTGCTGGCCTGAAACAAATCCAACAGGACCTTCGATTATATCTGAAGAGTGTACAGCATTCAATGATAGAGTTAATCAATGACGACTATGCTGATTTCGTCCACCTTTCTTCGAATCTTGTCAGCTTGCAAAGTGCGATCGATAAGATCGATAACGACATCAATGTAAGAGTGTTCTCATTTACTGCTTCAGACTGAGTCTCTATTGATATCGATTGTTCTAGAATGTTCAATTTGAAATTCAGACTATATGGACGGAGTTTGAGAATAGCACGAACGCCGCTGTTCGTACTGCTGAACGTGTGGAGTTCTTTTGCCTGGAACTGTCAGAGAATCGGAGCTGTCAGGTCATTGATTTGCCTCACTTAAGACAACAAACACATTGTCTGTTACCGTTGCGAACCTTTTAATGTGCTTATTTTGGATTTTTGAAGCTTTATAATCTGTCAAGTAGGTTTTTCTGGAAACACCTCTGTTAACACTCACTTGGGTACTTGAATGGTCCGTCTTCAGTAGTTGTGTGGGCCTCAGAAAAATTTCTATTGGTTTGGAGTTTTGCTGGTTTAGCCATTCTGGTTATCTGGAATCCCGAGGCCAGCCTAGCGAAAGTCTGGCCCAGGCCATCACCACCAAAGATCGTCGCGGCCCGTGTGGATCAGAGGGAGATTTGCCACTTTGCTACCAGTTTGATAGCAGGGCAGTGCTGGATCCTGATATTGGTTTACTCTCAGGTGGCTTTACTTATGCAAACGCCGGACTCCTTCTCAGCTTGAGTGATCTTGCTGAGGGATGAAGTCCTCAGCTTGGGTGATCATGCTGAGAGATGAATTCCCGCTGTACATCTCAGCCTGGCACGCAAGAACATCTCCCAGCCACGATGAGGCGGTGAACCGTTGGGGGGAAAACTCTGTTAACATATAATCCTCAAAGTTCGTTTTTCTACGGCTGACGATAATTTCTCAGTCGTAGCAGTTTGGGAGTTTTCGGGCTTCGTATGCTTATAGAGGAGACCTTGCTGTATCGCCATAACGACGTATTGTGTAGAATTGCTTTGAAACTTAAATTTTCAGCGTCTTCCACCAACACCGAGGCCTCGGCAGAAATTTCGTTTGCTGGTAATGAGATAGCTACAGAATTTATGCCTAATTAACAATCATCTATAGATTATAAGCGCAGTTATCTCAACTTCCAACGGTATTCCACTTCATCGTGGCTGGAAGGTGTTCCTGAGTTCCTGAGTTATACAGCGGAGCGTCTATACTCCAGCACGGCTTCCCAAGCTGAGATGGAGTCTGACGTTTCCGTCCAGAAGTTCACCTAAGAGTAAACCAGTACCAATGCGAGAATTCATCACCGTCCTGGTATGAGATTAGTCGCTTGGTCACAAATCAGTCTGATTCACAATGGTGGCGACTGCCTGAAGTGGTGACGACAAGACGAAGGCTTCACCTGGACTGGCCTCGGGACTCCATCAAACCTCAGTGGCTAAACCAACAGGTCTGCGAAGAATGGAAGTTATGCTGAACCTACACAAACAGTGAATACGGACCATCTAAGTATCTAGTTTTTTTTTCAACTAATAAAGTTCTCTGCGAGCTGAGACATATTGCCTTAAGTTGAAAGCGGCCATTGATTTCGCACCATATGCATTGCACCCAATAAATGCTGGACGTTGTATATTGACCCGGTTTTTTAGAATGAGACGTTTCTCAACCACTTTCGAAATATTAAACTGCTCATATGCCCTCCTTTGCTTAGAATAATGTTTGATATCACCAGCTACGGTTACGTGCAAGGGGCTTTCATATTAACTTGCTCCTTCGTACATCGATAGTTGGTTGATTCTCAGTGAACTAGTGTCTTTGAATTTGACATTGTACTTTTTTGTCTCTGATATAGTAAACATTTCTTTGGCCATGTGCTACTTTTAGATCAAGGTTCGTCATCGCATCGCGTTTCTGTCGGCACTTCAACGACTTGCTAATCTGTTCAGTAATATACCTAATTCAGTTAGCATCCTATGGTAAATTTTCTGCTGCTCGTAGTTCATCAATTAAGTTTAGCATAGTTCTGATGTCTGGAGTTATGTTTAACAAGATTTCAGGCTCGAGAAAGTATCGTCTTGTTTGGTTGATATCAGTTCATATAAGGAAAAATTGGTGGAGGAGAGCAGAGAAAGCAAAATCCTCAGTAAAGTGAGTGCTGACTTAACTTTAAAGCTACCTTAAAGTTATCTAACATTATAGGTTTTAGCTGTTAAATCAAGTGGAGACCGTTTTATGCAATGAGGGTGTACGAAGCGCCGGTGAGGACTGTGCTACACTGCCCTACGTGCTTTCTCTTCTGTCATTGGCCAACTGCACGCACTCGTTGACTGCTCGTCTGGTTTCCGATCTGATATATCCTAAGCTTGTTCAGCCGGCTAAGGGCCACTACGAAATGTTAAAATCTGTTTTCGCTGGTGTCAACAAGGTAGGTTAATTTTAATTGGAATTGCTAGGAATCGGTTTTTTCTTTGGTTGTAAAGTATCTGAGTTCACGACTACCACATTGATTTGTTTAGATGCGTTCAAGTTGGAGTAATGTTCTTGGAGCAAAGTATGCGGGACAAGTGGAAGCGTTCCTTGAGCAGACTCTTCTTACATTTTTGCTGACGTTTATTGATAAGGTTTGATTCTAGGTTGAATGGTTGGGTATGTTAATATTGCATAGTAGCTAAGGGGTATCGGCGAAGAATTGAAAACTTTTGGTTCCAGAAGTCAGTGGAAATATTGCAGATCAGTACAGTTGCAGTAGTTTCATTTACCATATTTATATAAAATGGGATGGGCTGCCTAATTTTTTTTCGACTTTTCTATTCCTGTTATCTGGCTACTATTCTGTTCGGTTATCTGACTTTCTGGTTGGCGATCGTAGCACTTTTTAGTCAATGGGCACAGTGGCAGTACCGACGAATACCTCACTATTTCATCGATGCTTTATGGCTACACAGGAATTTATTGAAAACTGGCCGGTACATCCTCATTCGAGGTATTTAACATAACCTTTTTGGATAGTTATTGTAGCACATCGCTGCATTTATAGGGCTATGTTGAAGGCCGTTCGAGACAAATTTAATCTAGTTGTCTACTTTAAATTGGTTACCCACAAGTTGGTTCGCCAAGTAGATAGCGAAATGACTCCAGAAAGTTTTCAGTTTGTTTCCGATGATCAGGTAGAACTTAGTATGTCCATTTTTTGTTCTGAAATCTATTGAATCACTGAACTGTTATACTTTGTCTAGTTCCTGATAGGAGGAGTACTGTGCGGTCTTTCATCCACAATCTTGCGAACTGTTGAAACAATATGGGCTGAAGACGTATTTCTGTATCCAATCATCGATAAATTATGGGATCTCACGTTGAGGCTGCTAAACAAACATCTCGCCTGGGCTAGAGCACTTTTGGAGTTAGTAGAATTCATTATACTTGTTTTACGGTATCTTTCCTTTTAACTGCACAATGCTTAGCATAGTATTTCATACTACAGAGCTGCGACTATTGGAGGCTCATCTGAACTAGGTGGTACTGAAGCATGGCGCGCTCTTTTAGCAGTCCGTCATGATCTTTTCGCTGTGCATTCCAAGGTATTTGACATGGCATTGGAGGAGCTGTGGCCCAAACTCTCGTTAGTTTTTTGGAACTATGGTGTTTTCTTTCATATATATATATATATATATATATATGTACATATATATACATATATGAATTTATATAAAGTTCGGGACGCGTGTAGCCAAGGCACCCTGCAATACAAATGGGATCGATCCCCGCGTCCCAGACCCCCAGACCCACCATGCCCTCCTTCCTTCCGGGGTCGGTAGGTTGGCACCAGACTTGTCTTGGAGGATAGCAGCACTGGCTGGATACATCGGTACGCCACCGAGAGTAAGCATTGTAAAGGCAAGATAAGCATTCAGTCACCTCCAACGGTGATTAATGAAATCGAATGCGTGGCGTATCTCTTAGAGATTGGTCAACGTCTAGAGCTTTTTTTGTGGATAAGCTCATATATTTTCAGCCACCTGAGTGTTGATACATCGCTTTTTGGTCAATGCTTAACGCGATTCGGTACACTGATTGATTCGGAGAGTTCTAAGACTGATGAGGCGGTGATCAAGCTAGTTTCCGCTTCAGTATCCAAAGTGAGTGATTTCCGTATTGCCGTTGGTTTTTTCTTTTCGAAATACTTTAGGAGTTTGATGCTGTGTCCGATGTCCCGAAGCAGTATAGGTGGACCAAGAAACCGTCGCCTTTAACGCACTCCGCTTACATCTCTGTTGCTCATAAGAAGCTTGATGTTTTCATTCAAGAATTGTCGAAAACAAGTCATCCAACTGCTGTACAGCTATCTCGCTCAGTATTGTCATCATCATATTGCCAGCTGGTTGAGAAGGCGGAGAAGGTGAGGGTCTTTGTTTTTTTTGTAAAAGTAGTTTTGCAGAGATCTTCAAGATTTCTCTAAGGTGCTTGACAGTGTTGATGCCACTGGGTCAAGTCTTTCACGATTCAAGAGAAAAGGATCGGTTTTGGTTGGGACAACCGACGATGATAAGATACGGACTCAGGTATCATGAGAATTTGGCCGTTTTATTGGTTTGTTGTTATATTGGCGCTTTTCTCATCCACGCAGTGGTTTTTCCATACTGTGCAGTAACTTGCCTTACTTCCAGGCTTTTTTATGGATATAACTAAGTAAGACTTTCAGATTTATCGTGATCTTTCGTTTTGCGAGTCTCGAGGATTGAATGAAGATATCGTAGTCGAAGGGTTATCTAAATTAATAGAACGCTCTCGACCAGAAATTACTGAACCGATTTCCAATATAACTGGAGCAGCAGGCATTGAAGAATTCTCAGACTCTGTTAGGAACGGCAAGTTCATTTTTGTCCTTGCGCCTATGTATGTTTACTTCTTGTTGGTAGACTTGTGAGTATTCTACTGTGTGGAAATCTAAACTTTCTGTAGACCACAAATCATTTTTTCTCTTTCGTCTGTTTTTTCGTGGTTTGGATTTGAAACAGCAAAGGCATTAATAAACCTTTTTTTCTAAATAAAATTTGGTTCGGAAAAATGCGATGGTATCCTCGAACGCATCATTGATGTTTGCTGCAGCTGAGTTAAAAGGCAAAAGCTCTCGAAATCCCTCGTTCTATTTAGAATCCGACATCTCCGGCACATTGAACGCTCCAGGTTTAGAACCTTCCAGTCAAGATTCTCGATCTTCTTAAGATATTGGGATGATTTCTAAGAAGTCATTGGCGGTTTCTATCTGTGTTTCACCTCTATTTCATGTATTATAGGTGTGGTGGTTTTTTCTTTGATATGATATCTTTCTGTGATATTGACAAATGGGGCAATAGGTGTAATTATTCGTTTTTGCGTCAATGTTTAAGAGAAGTTTATTGATATTTAATGAAATGATAAATATCGGTCCTTGTTCCTCATGTTTGGAAATGGATTTGCGTTCCACAGAGGAGTGTTTCTTACTTTATTAATAATCTTTTGAGTAGATTTAATGATCTTCTACGTTCACTTGGGTCAAGATGGCAGCTACATGGGAGGACATACGACGCCTCGTAACCGACCTTCAACGGGTACAACTAACACAGTCTGCGAAGAAGTTAGTTTCTTGTAGTTTTAAGTTGTTTTCTATTCACTGATCTATTCATTTTAACTGTTTAATGTTTTCAAGACCGTACTGTTTACGTGGGAATAGTTTTGAAGCAATACGTTCTGCAAAGGGGTTGTAGCATTTATTTTTTCACTATCAGAAGAAAAATCACTTGTAGGTGTAAGTCCAAGAGTGGTCATTTACTACTTTAACCTATTTTAATAATATACCAGGTTGTCGGAGGCAAACTGTGTCGAAGTAGTGTCGAAATTAATCCAAAGGTCTATGATCGATGTGGTGTTTACTAGGGATGGACATTCATATATCACTCGCAGTCATCTGGCCACCGAGGTTCGTTCGGAAGATACTCTTAGTCAGGAATAATCTTGAATTTATAAGAGTGTTGGTAAAAGGACAAAAGGATGAAGCTCTCGGCGTTGATCTATCGCTGGACTTCATTAAGCATCGTTGGAGGTGACGGATTGCATATCTGGCTTTACAGTGACTTGCAATGCCTACCGATATGTCGATGCTTATATTTGAGCAATACTCGGAAGCGCAGCTGGGCTTCGAAACTGCGGTTATCTCGCTGGGGGCGCCTATTGCTATCCTCGACATCAGCCAAGGCCCTTTACCTTTCTGTCAGTCATGCTTTTACTCTATCGGTGCTATCAGTAATTACCCGTCATCAGGGATGATCTGGAGAGCACAAGTCTCATTGAACCTAGTCAAACTGAAGCCATAGTCGACATCACAACTTTTTAGCTTTTATTTTTTGCCTATTCTTGAGAGAAATTCAAGGCATAGGTCACGGCTGGTGTGGTGGATAGCACGTGAGCGTAACCGCGGCTTAATCTGAGGTCTCGAGTTTTGCTTATATCTGAGCACCCTTGTGGTTGTATTGCACATCGCACGTACCCTGCCGTACAATAGACGAAATAAAAGTTAAGGTTTTGAGATTTACATGTTTGCCTCATTCGCACGACCGTATGGTCGCAAATGATGTAGTCGAGGTGACTCACATCTGGCCGAGCATAGTTTAGGCATTGATCTTTAGACTGACATTCCCAGCACAGTGAGCCTAATTGGAATAGAAGCCGCTACAATGTACTGAGCTTTGTATTCAAGATATTTTATCTCGATCTACCCAAAATTTCTAGTATTCTGGTTGTTGGGAATCGTTTTATTTTCGTTTTCTGTTTTACTTTTGCGCTTTTCCTTGGCGATCGTATCGTATCCTTGGCGAGCTAACGAAACGATGGAACAAATCGGATTCCGTCTAGTTAAGGATAATATTACCGTGAAATGGGTCACCTATGCGGACGAATGCTGCTGTCCCTTAAAGGTTTTAAAATCTTTTTTATTGCATTGCTGTTTTTTGAAATCTAATTAGAAGGTAGTTGGATCTTTAAACAACTCTGAAATCAAAAATGGCGTTTCGAAAAAATTATATATACTCTTACAGCGATAGAGATAGGTGATTAGTCATTCTGTTCTAGGTCTTTTTCTCAAATCCACAAGAACTCTACTTTTCGAAGAAAAAGGAAGCAATTGGCGAAAACTCGAACGTGAATGTGTTGATTTTATGGCAGCTATATAGCTGTTCTTACGAACTGTACTTATTTGGGTGATGTGCGTTTGGTACAGATCTTGTTGTTGTTGCTTGTACTGTGTAGTTTGTCAACAACAACAGCAGCAATAATAAGGAAATCTGCACCAACTTTGCTTCAGCTAAATAAGGGAAGTTCGTAAAAAAATTAGTATAAATATGTCGATTATTGGCGTGCGTGTGGTGCCCTGAAATACACACACGGGATTGGATCACACGCCCATGGCTTGTCAACACCTTTCCATCCCTCCAGGGTCGACAAATTGGTACCAGACTTGTCTGGGAGGAGAGCAGCACTGGTTCGATACATCGGTAGGCCACCGCGATTCACCGTAAAGGCCAGATATGCATTCAGTCCCTCCGACAATGCTTAATGAAATCGAATGCATGGCGCATCTCTCAAGGATTGATCAACGCCGTAAACTTTATCCTTTGCCCTTTATATCGATTATTATGCCGAGGTTTACCGAAAGCCGATCATTTGTGTTAATTATGGCTATGTTTATGCTATAGTTACGGCAGTTGTTTACAGGTGAGAAATGAATGTGAGGCATTAGGTGGACGGGCTCCTCTAACGGATATTGCAGCTACGTTGAATGTCGATCTAGACCATGTCGAGCACGTTGCACTTAAACTCGTTTCTGAGAACGTTGGACTCACAATTTCCGGTGGCGAACTGTTCTCTGAGTAAGCAGCAATCATTACGTTGATTTTTAAAATTATTGTTTAAAACTATTGGTCCACACTATGTGAAAATTCTAGAAGTCCTTCGAGATCTTTTACTTACTTCTTATCACGTTTCTACTGCCATTGATTTCTTTGATTTTGCGAATTCCTCAGAGAGTTTGTTTTGGTTACGTGTTGTTGTAAATCTTACGAGTTTTATCCTTACGCGTGGGAGAACTGAAAGCGCTGCACATGCCGTTAGGAAAATGAACAGTTCAATGAGCGCTATCGTATGTAACAAAGGTATCAGCGGCGTTGTAGGAAAAGTAAGGAATTTTGTTACATGCAAAATTTCTATAATTGGCGAAAACTCTTGCTTAATCCATTGGTGCGGACACTTGGTTTTGTGCAGCTGACGTGTAGGATGACGTTTAGCTTCGGTCATTATGGGCTTTCTGGTTTTTTGGCAACATGCGATAACTTTCTAATATGTGACTTTTTATTCAGTGCCTAGTATTTTTCATGGGAGGATATTATGTGAAGTACAACCATGATGGCGCTGAGACATTTGCTCAGCTATGATTCGAGCCCGTGATCACACTTTTCGGGAGCTCACGTGTTACCCACTGCACAACCCTTGCTTCGGTTTTCTCTCAGCCAACTTTGTTTAGTAACAAAAGAATACAGTGATGGAATATATTACAAAAGTGTAGGAGGGACTTTGCTTTGTCATAATGAGTACGCATGGTATTTTCACTTTTATTTAGTATGTGGACCACCATACAACCACAGCATTTAGATGGGTTTTGCAGCTTGTGTTGAGTCTATCTTTGTATTTTCTGTACCCGATTATCCCATTTGGTCAACATATAGCTGTTGGAATTGAATTACCAGTAAAATTACTGGCTATTGCATTTCATGAGAAACGGTTTTTGTTTTGTGCGTTTCTAAGTGCACAATAGAGCTTTTCCTGATAGAAATACGCCACAACATCTACGTTGAATAGACTGTTGATTGATTACAAAAAGCGTTGCGTAGGAAACCATAGGCGACAAAATGGAAAGCCTAGAAGAAAATGGCTCATATGTGGTTCACCTTGTCCAGTTTGCTCTCTAAGGCGTGAGTTGTATATGGGTCACCTTGTCGTCGTTATGTTAAATGAGTAGTGTTAAAATTTGGGAAACTGATTGAATTAATAAGAAAGGAAGGAAAACAGTGTTGGAAAAGATAATGGGACGACTTTTTCAGGGAATATGTCGTAAATCTCCAGGGTGAACTTCGTTCATTACTCGCCGAGCATGGCCATCGAACGCTAGCATCTCTTTGCAAGCACTGGAATTTATCAAATGTGTGTCTTTTACCTATTATACTGTATGGGATGGATCAGTATGCATCCTTTCAACATGAGTTGTCTTACTTCGAATAGATATGTTCAGGAGCTTTTGCGATCCTTGCTCTTGGATCACATCTCAGTAGGCTTTGACGGAGTAATTGATGGTGATTCAATATTTACCTTAGAGTATCTTGAGGCACATAAGAACATCTTCAGAGCATTACTCTCTGCTATCACAAAGTGAGTAGCATTCATTCTTCTCTCCTAATCGTTTAGTTTATAGGTATTTAGGCCGTTGCCCATTAATGTCATACAAGCACGCGTAGGATTACCACTTGGTCAGTTTTGGCCTACTTTCGATGGACTCGTAGCTGCAGGAGAGGTATGATGGAAGCTTGTGAACTGATTGACTACTAGTGCCAATAGCCTATCTTTGTTTGGGAAGGCACATATCAGCAGAAGCCTTTGTGTATTCATAAAATCGTTTGGGTTCTCCTACGTGCATATTTCTTTATTCAAAGAGCTCCTACATTTAACTTGTCTTACTAGAGCCGATGATCCGAGTCGATGGTCCACGTCGTTTACTACCGAGCTTAAGTGACGGTTGCTTTGAAAATTATTCTCCTTAATAGGTTCCTGGTCGGTTGTCTGGCTCACGATCTTCTCCTAGTTGTACCTACATCCCTCAAATTCACGACGTCTTGGTCCAAACATACGTGCAGAATCTTTTTCGACAACAAGAATTTATTCGTAAGTGGTTTTTTTTTCCAATGTTATGGTTCTGCTTTTGTTAAGATGGGACTAACCGTTTAACTTGGTACCACAACTTTCAACCGATTTTAAGAAACGAGTGTGCTTAAAAAGTTGGGTCTCAGTGAAAGCATTGGAGCGAAAAACGGACAAATATCGCAACTGCTTAGACAAAGCAGCGACGACTTTAAAATCGAGGCACTTCCTTCTGTTTTGATCTCGACGGCCTTATTTCAACAGTGCTTGACTGCAGTGAAAGGTAAATATCCTTTTCATTTAGGTTTAGTTTTGCTGTGGAAATAGCATTTCTGAGCGGTTGAACCCTTTTTGTAGCTCAAGAAAAGGTTTCCATTTATTCCGATAAGAACGAGGACGAGAACTACCTCAGTATTGATGTAGATGTTTATGTGTATCAGGTTGAAATATTACGTAGTATTTGCGAGTATTTAACAGTATTTTCCATGGGTAAGCAGGTAGTTTTTAAGTAACTAAGCGGACACAGGAATTTTATGCGACCACTACAAAGTGCTCGTTCTATATTGGATAACTCTGCGAATCGTGCTTTTACACTTTCCTGAAGACAGTGGTTAACCCAGGCGCTGGTTTGTATATGGAGTGGTACTATATCAGTATTGGTGTTTAGACGACATCTGTTACCACATTCAGATGCTGTGCGAGAATCGGATGTCTGCGACTTAAAGTTAGCACTGCAGTCTTTTGCTATACCGTTCGATGATGAGGACTTTCTACTAATATCGGAGAGGGTTTCTACTCTAGAGAAAGACCTTCACAATGCAGATGGCTATGTATTTTCCGATAAAATGCTTGGAAGGGCGATGGAGCGATTGGATGATCACATCGATGCGTGGGCTCGTGAGCAGGTGTGGTTGTTATTTGGATAACTCAGTGTGTTTCTTCTTCCATAGCATTCTAAAGCTTCATAGTGTTTTCATGACGCACTCCCACTCTCTTTAGATAGATGTACTTGAACGAGAACGTAAAAGCTCACAGCATCAACATAGGAAGGTAGAGGTAATAAGCTAACGGATTTTTCTTTGATGTAGTAGATTTGGAAATCGAATTCTATTGTCTTTTTTGAGAATGATGCTGATTGGGTTGATTCAAGAAAAGGCGCTGGAAAAAGGAAAGGTGCCCGAGGAAGTGGAGGAAAAGCAAACAAGTTTGGTGGCGCCACTCGTAAAGAATCAGCAGTCAGCGTTATCGTTCCATCCGAGGTTTCATTACTTTTTAACTTAATTATTTATTCCTGGTAATTCCTTGATCAGACACCTCAGACCTCCGGCTTCTGTGAAGATAATGAGAAGTTATAACTCTCATATAATCTAAAGTGGTATTTTTCAAGTTTTTTATACTTCGATCATTCGCGAGTAGGCTCCCATCTTTCGATAGGGACTGGGAATGTCCCACTTTCTATATGCGAGGGCTAATTCGTGTTTTTCTTGATAACGAAGTAATGGTCAAGCTTAGTCGTGATGGTTTGATACTTACGGGTAATTTTTTAGGTTTGTAGACGTAGAGATATAGGGAGCATATTTCATGACGATCATGACCGCCGTCTTTCATGTTCCTGTCTTTCACTCGGTTGCGGACATTTGTCTAAATTGACGTGCGGAATGTTATCGACAAACACATAGGCATTTTATGAATATAATCGTGAATGTTATGAAATGCATACCTGTTTGAACAGAGTGCGTGGTAGCGCAGTGGTCAGAGGTGTTCTGTAATGCACCACATGCGATAGGTCGTTACTTCGATCTAGCGTTCCGAGCCCACCAAGCCTTCCATCCCTCTAATGTCGTGAAATTGGTGCCAAATTTATCCTGGAAGCATTAACTTAATATCGGTAGGCCACTGCAAGTCATTGCAGAGACCAGTTATGCATTCAATCACCTCTGTGGTTCATAATGAAGTCGACTGTATCACACATCACTCAGGGATTTCTCAACGCTGAAAGCTTCATACTTTGTAGTTTATACCTACATGAATATTTGACCGAGAAGGAACACGGCAGATGTGGGAGTCGAGGCACTACTTCCGTTTACTGGTAATTTTCTGGCAGGGCAAAATTTTAATTTAATGGCTTCGATATGGCCATGTCAGGTCATATCTAGTCCATAAGTGTGAATGGTTTATGGCTGTTGTAGGTTTGAAAAGGACTTGCCAATTTACGAGTGAGTTGCTATCAAGGAAGTGGTAACTTCTAGCATTGCAAACTGTTGACGCTGCATGAGACCGCATTGATAATCACTGGGAACCGCAGTTGGACCATCATGAACACCTATTAGCCACGATGCTACATGCTAATCCTTCGTGGGGAATGGTTGTGTGCAAAAATATTAGTTAGTACGCGAAAACAGCGATACCCTACTCCGAATTGACTTCAGTCTTAGAGCAAGTACATTGTCTCTGTTTTGTTCCGCGTGTAGCCTCCATTTCAGCATGTGAGGTTGAACCATATAGCATCGCAGCGAATAGACTGTGGATTGTTCATGTGGAAAATATCTGCGGAATCTTTTTTGTCCATTAATACTTGTTAGTATTAGTGTAACAGATGAGAAAAAGGCGAAACGAATAACCTGCACGGTGTGGTGGTGAACGCGTGAGCCCCCAGAGAGGGTAATAGTATGTTCCATTCCCACAGTAGACACCTGCGGTCTGAAGCTTTGCAAACATCTTGGCATTATTATATTTACTAGTGTATGTCTATAAGAAGATAAACTAACGCAATCTGTCGACTTTTTTTATCGCATGTTTTATACGTTCTTTCTTACAGATACTCCAAGAGTGGTTGATAAAAGGAAGTATTGTTCCTGAAGAAATTGTAATAGACATAGCAGAACGGATAGGACCTAAGGTTAAGTTCACGATTCTAATGGTTCTGTTTCCAAGATATTTAGAAGCAGGATACGGTCTGTGAAGAACAGTTCTTATTTTTGGTTTGGGTTTCAAGACTCGTCAGTAACAAGTTGATTGTGAATGACCATTATTAAATCAGGTAGATGAGAAAATTCGTGCGCGACTTGCTGAAATTGCCGCTACTTATCGAAATGCAGCTGCAGAGTCACAGAAGAAACACCTTGCAGAACTTCGGCAAAAGACGCAATCTCTTTATTCCTCTATTTGTTTGTTTGAAACGTCGATTTCGTCATTTCCGGGTTAGTTTTCCTACAGTATGAAGAGTTTTCTTTTACAACCACAAGATTGCTGAGATATTTTCAAAACACCGGACCGCAGGTGTCTGCGGTAGGGAACGGACGCGCGCTATTGTCCTTTCCGGGGAGTAACGCGTTCACCACTACGCAATGCGGGTCCTTCGTTTCGCCTGTCTCTTAGCTAGTTCTATTGATCTGTGCCATCAGCAATCATCCGTCAACGGAATTGATCTGGGGAGCCCACATCGGCATTGAACCCAGTTAAGCTGGGAATGTACTTGAATTCACAATGTTTCTTTTTTTATTTTCTACCTTCTGTCATTTTTATGGCAGGGTATTAAGCGAATTAATAGCGAATTTCGTTTAATACCCTGCCATAAAAGTAATAGAAGGTAGAAAATTAAAAAAGTTTTCTTTTAGTAGTGTAAGATGTTTTTTAGGTTTTGATTGTGGATGCGTTAATATTTGCATTAATATTTAAAGCCATTCTTTGATTGGGATAGATAAGTGAGTTTCAGATGCCCTTCGTGCTGACTTAAGCCAATTTATTCTTCGTACCGTTGGCACAGAGTTGGCAAATTTGATTCTCTCATATGCTTCTGGAACGGAGAGCACCAGCCTATTGAAGGAGAAGGTTAGTTTTTGTCGAGATCTTAGAATTATTGCTGTTACGAAAGATAGTGGTAATTTTGAACTAGTTTTACTAGTTATCAATTTCAGAGTTTAGTATTATTTGAACCAAATACCTAAATTTCTCTTATTGTCGGAAAGAGTGAAATAAAGGTGGAAATAATGTGAAGGATCCAATGAATTGAAAAAAGCAGTCGGCTTTGATCTATCCCTAAAGGACGCGCCATGCATTCGACTTCAGTAATCATCGTTGTGATTGAATGCATATTTGGCCTCTATAACGACTCACGGTAGCCAACCGATGTATCGAGCCACTGCTGCTATCCTTCTAGACAACTCTGGTACCAGTTTGCCGACCCCGGGTGGATAGAGGGCTTAGTGGGCCTAGGGTGCGGGGACCGATCCCATGTGTATTGCCGGGCGCTTTCGACCACTCCGCCACACGCGCCCGTTCAATGAATTGAATTGGTGCTTATAACATTTTTACATCGTATGATTTAGAATTATGTTGTTGAACTATTTGTTTAAAACTGTTTTATTGCTCCTCAGCTTTTTGAAATAGTGATTCAAACTGCCGTTGTAAATTCTATTCGATGTATATATGGAAGGAAATCTTGGGGTTGTACATGTGTGAAAAAAAAATGAAAATTATTGTAGCAACAAAATTCGTGCGTGTGGCGCAGTGGTCGGAGGCGCCCTGCAATACACATGGGATCAATTCCGGCGGCGCAGGCCTACCAATACCTCCATCACTCTATGGTCAGCGAATTGGTACCAGACTTGTCTGAGAAGATAGCAACACTTGTGCAATACATCGGTAGGGCACCCACGAGTCCATTATATAGGCCAGATATGCATTCATCCACTACCAACGATGCTTAGTGAAGTCGAATACATGGCGCCTCTCTCAGGGATTGGTCAACACCGAGAACTTTATCGTTTTTGTTATTGTAGCAACGTGATGAGACGATTGATTCGTTGTCTGTGGAATTACGTGACGCCATCAGTACTGTCTTCACCTCATTGCGTGGCAATGATCTGGATGCGTTTCATTCGGCTGTGTTCAATCTTTCTTCTCCAATGACACTCTCATTTGTATTGAAGCAACCAGACGCCAAGGCAAGGTTTGTGGTGTTCAAGAATCCTGTTCACTAATGTCATAAGAACTGACTGCCTACGATGTGAACTACTTTCTTGGTTCCATTCTGTGTTGAAAAATTGGCGTTTAAATCATGCTCAGGCATATGTATTCTGATTCACATGATTTTCAACCATTTAAATGCGCAGTAGTGCATGCCATCTTTGAATGTAGTTTGGGCCTTTACAGTTGATTTATGTCGTTTGACTTCAAGCGTCTCTGATAAACGTAGTCAGACTTGTGTGTGGGTTTCGCTGCCGCGCGACGAAATCTGTCATCTTTCTTCCTAACTAGCATGGTGGATACTTGTTGAACGTAGCTTTTCATAGAATCTCGAGATAACCTGGCATCGTTCATCGAAATAGGATCATTTGCCATGCATGGAAATTTTCAAGTTTCAATTTTTAAAACTGTATTGGCTTATGTATTTTTTTTACGCAACCTTCCTTTCGTATCTTTTTGCGCATTGGGGATCATAGCACTTCTCGCATTTGTTTCGTTTTCTCGCATCCATTATTAACGAAAGTCTTCCAACATTTTCCGTGTGGCTTTGGCTGTTTGAAAATTTTCCTTTCATCACGAATGTTGCTAAATGGTGGTCGAGTCGATTCTCCCTCGAGTACTGGGATGGCCGGGTTAGAGCGTTCTCACTTTGGTTGTCCCAACTCCGGAGGAAGAGGAGGCTTGCTGAGCCCAGAGCGGGGTCGAACCAACACCGTGCTCGTGATTATCGGCATCACTATTACTGTTCTACCTTCCCTTATTTGTATGTTTATACATACCAAATGGGTAAGCGAACGGTCTGAGCGTAACCTGTGAGCAGATTTCACATGAAAGCACTTTTTCCCAGTATTTTATTGCACACATCAATGATTTTAATAAAAGACAGTTAATTTAGTAACGAGGACTCAGGAAGTCTATGTATCACCTCTAAGCAATAGATGAGTTGATAGAAAGCTGGCGAGAACTCCTCCTTCAGCACTTGTCTTAACACCTTTTCTTCTTAACCCTGCCGAACTGGCCACAATCCTATCAGCGCTTGACTAGGGTGTGAACCTTTACTCTACACGTCTACCGACTCAAGACAACAAAAATGTGGTTCTTTCACTACCTTCTTGTCTTTCTTAGAGGAGAGGATATAGTCTCGAATGAAGCAGAGAATAAATTGAGATAATTCAATGTTTTCTTCAATAGGCAGACACAAGGTTGTTAATATAGAATTTATTAGAATACAACAGCTGACGTTTCGGCGGTTTCGCCTTCTTCAGAGCCTGGAAGGGTCAAATTGAGATGTGATGTAGATCTACTCAGCCAAACACTTTCATAACCCTAGCAGATAAAACTTGACAAATCGATTTGCATTCGCATAAGAAACAGCTTCATTCAAACACCTACCGTTTATTTGTTGTAAGTATTTAAGTTAGTTGATGGATAGCCGCCGCACAGAGTAATACATGGGCGATAACTGTGTCTGTGTCAGGTTATTGGATTAGCCTAAGATATGGCGCCAGGTCACGCGTGATGACAAGGCACTCCTCCTTGCGGTTCATTTTTGAATTTTTGGTATTCATCTAAAATGCTTCAAGAGTTTTACGCGCTGATGTTTTCGATTCCTGCGTAAGGATAGTGACTCCTACTTCAAAATCTTCTCCGTTGTGTTCCTGCATCCTATGTGCGCCTAGTGGAGTGTTTGGTTTTAATTTAGATTTACCGACTAGGTGTTCTTTTATGCGGACGCAGAGCGGTCTACCCGTTTCGCCAACATATTCGTGCCCGCACGCTTTACAAGAGATCAGAAAGACTGTACCCGAACTCATGCAATCACCGTCTCTACCATTTGGGTAAATTATGCAGTTTTTTGTTGAACAAAAAAAAATAAATGCAATCCTACCAGCGCTCGTCGACCAAGGAGTTGATTTGTCTACATGAGGATTCTATCTGACTGTCAACTAAAATGTAATGCAAAATTTCAGCTCTCCATCGATCTTTTAGCATACCCATAGGAAAAGTGGTTTGACGAAACGACACAATATCGCCAAAATCAACTTTCTCCGCCGCTATGTTCAACATCGAGTCGTGCGGAAGTTTATAAAACGAAAGCGACTTCACGAGATATGCGGTCAACCAGAGGACAGCCAACAAGTACGAGGCTTCGAAATGGAACTACTTCGAGCTGCACTACGAAGCAAGCAGAACGAGATGTTTGCCAGAATGAAGAAGTGTGCAACGAAGGAACATTTTTGTGCTTTGTATTTGGAGGATCGCCTTTGAAGGAGGATAGTTGGTGGGTCAATATTAATATGCGATTCTATTAGATCTAATGCCAAAATAACCTTACAACGGAAATTCGAAAATCTTTTGGGTAATTCACATGACTCAGCTTCATGAAATAACCGCAAACGAATTCCTTACGCTTCTGATAATAGTCAAAATGGGGTTGATAATGCACCCAGAAAATCTAGGATCACCGTGATTGGGGGCATAACAATGCCTGAGAATGCACGTTCGCTATTAGAATTGCGCCCGAGTTTTGCACCATCACAGCCCATTTCTCAAGCGACCCTGCGTTGGATAGCATGCAACCTATGAGCTTCAAGATCGACTCCGCTATCAGGCCAAGCTAGAAACATCAAAAATAGACATAAAAATCAAGAGGCGGCGGCACTCCCACCATCTTCTTTTCCTAAAACGTTTTTTAGACAACAGGACCCTAACGATAGAGTTGACATAAAATTCCGCGTGTTTTCGGAGGACCTCCTCAAGGCCCTTGATCACTGCCGCGATAGAAAGTTTATCTCTAACCTTACAGCCGCAAAAATGTGGCATGCGGGAAATTAGAGAATTAATAAACTCGAAAACAATTGTCTGTTAGTGATAAGGGGGGGGGGGGGGNTGCCGCGATAGAAAGTTTATCTCTAACCTTACAGCCGCAAAAATGTGGCATGCGGGAAATTAGAGAATTAATAAACTCGAAAACAATTGTCTGTTAGTGATAAGGGGGGGGGGGGAGAGTTCGTAGTTATCCTTCGCCAGCTGGATATTGAGATAACAGAGGAACATCTTAGTGATGCTACTCTCTATCACCTATCCTTTGAGGTCTAACTTCAAAGGTGGAAGGGTCGGTAGACGCCAGATCATCAGCGGATATTAACTTATGGGTCTTGATAAGTAAGTATAGGACGGGACACGTATCGATCTTAAGATGCTAAATGTTTCCTGGTTTTAAACCTGCTGCGCTTGCAGTTTTGACCCATTCGCTGTTCAGTTTTCGATTTTGACTTCTGAATTCCTTTTCAGCAGAGGCGCGATAAAGAGATGCGTCTTCAAGATGTTTTTCTGTTATATCGACATCTAACTGGCGAGGAATTACTACAAACTCTCCACTCTTATCACTAATTGATAGCCTAATAGTTTTTGATTTTATTAGCTCTCGAACCTGTCGCATACCAGATTTTTGCGTAGCTGTAAGGTTCGAACTAAACCTTTTCGCGCGGTAGTGGTTAAGGACTTTAAGAGTTTCGCTCGAAAAAATGCGAAATTTTATATCGACTTCGTCGTTTGGGTTTTGTTGTCTAAAGAACAACCGAGGAAATGGAGGTGGTGGTAGTGCCCCTGTTGCTCGTTGTTCCTTTCTATTTTGTGTCTCAATTCTAGCGTTGCTTCGGAGTCGATCTTGGAGCTCGTGTAAGCTGCACGCTATCCTACGCAAGGTTTCTTTAGAAATGGGTCGAACGACTGCGCAATACAAGCCATCCGCGAGCTTCTTAAGCAACACGAAGGAGCAATTAACATGTATGGCTTTTCGATTCAGCAGCTTATGGTCCTTCTGAAGGTCTGTTTAAACTGCTCGATGTTCAGATGGTGCGGGAAATATTACGCGCAAATTAGAGGGTTGGCAATGGGACAGCGACTGGCACCAACCCTTGCCGTTGCCTTTATGTTTAAAGTGGAAGCACCAGTAATCGATCTCACGCCATTACTCTACTGTAGGTATATAGATGATTGTTTTGTCATCTGTTCCACACAAGTGGAGATGGACAAATGCTTTAAGTTATTGAATGAACAGTCAGAGTACATAAAATTCAACCGTGAGAAACCGAAAGAAAACTGGCTTCCATTTCTAAACCTTCAAATTAACCTATCCGAGAACGGCTACATCACAAAATGGTATCGAAAGCCAAGCAGTAAGAATATAGTGGTTCATTACCGCTGCTCTCACTCCTCACACACTAAAAGGGCGCTTATAAGAAATGTGTTTCGTACCTCCCCCAGCGTGTGCAGAGGTAGAGAGCAGAGGGAAGAATCCTTGAATCTGGCGCGGTAAATAGCCACTTCAAATGGTTACGAAACTGTAGCTTCTCGGCATAGGCAGCGAGGAAGTCCCAGGCCCCAGAGCGATAATTCTAGCGAAACAAGGCTCCGTTCCTGTTGCCCTTTATTTCAAACGAAATAAGTGCAGCTATACAACGCTGCTTAATAAGGGCCGGTCTAGAGAATTCCGTAAGAGTGATAGAAATACCACCGGACACTCTAAGACGCCAGCTAGTTCGCAACCGCCTATACGACAGTTTATGTACAACAAAAAACTGCATAATTTAGCCAAATGGTAGAGACGGTGATTGCATGAGTTCGGGTACAGTCTTTCTGATCTCTTGTAAAGCGTGCGGGCACGAATATGTTGGCGAAACGGGTAGACCGCTCTGCGTCCGCATAAAAGAACACCTAGTCAGTAAATCTAAATTAAAACCAAACACTCCACTAGGCGCACATAGGATGTAGGAACAGAACGGAGATTTTGAAGTAGAAGTCACTATCCTTACGCAGGAATCGAAAACATCAGCGCGTAAAACTCTTGAAGCGTTTTAGATCAATGCCAAAAATTCAAACCGCAAGGAGGAGTGTCTTGTCATCACGCGTGACCTGGCGCCATATCTTAGGCTAATCCAATAACCTGACACAGACACAGTTATCGCCCATGTATTACTCTGTGCGGCGGCTATCCATCAACTAACTTAAATACTTACAACAAATAAACGGTAGGTGTTTGAATGAAGCTGTTTCTTATGCGAATGCAAATCGATTTGTCAAGTTTTATCTGCTAGGGTCATGAAAGTGTTTGGCTGAGTAGATCACATCTCAATTTGACCCTTCCAGGCTCTGAAGAAGGCGAAACCGCCGAAACGTCAGCTATTGTATTCTAATAAATTCTATATTAACAACCTTGTGTCTGTCTATTGAAGAAAAACATTGCATTATCAATTAATGCCGAGGTTAACAAAAAGTCGGTCTTGGGAATAAGATACTTAATTTGGGGATTGCAGGGACCGCTTCTTATGTACACTTAGACCCTCGGCGTGCATTATGAGCAAGTTGAAGGAAAAACTAAACACCAGGGAACTCGTGGAACGCTTCTAACGGGATCTATCGGCTGACAACACCACTTGGTCTCGAACTTCGCTATGTGCAATTTCGGTCACCTATATAGGCTAAATTCGCGACTAATTAAATGCAAACTGTGGTGAGAACTACATAGGTCATGAGGACGAGCTTCCCAAGTTTTTAGCTTGTCCAAGTAGTTTTTTCTACTGCTATCTGATTTTTAGTTAGTTGTGCTGTGTTCTTCTTTGCAGTAAGCAAATTTGTTCGTTGCATATTGTGGAGGTGGTAGTTCAACTTTTTGTCCTCATGAAATGTTTGGTTTTTTAACACTAAAGGTTTGCATCAACAAAAATGGCCGATGAAAGGGAGTATTAGGTTCGCAAACATAAGTGGAGAGATTTCGTCCAACTTTAGAAAAAAATCATATTTTTATAGAGCGGAGACGTTGAATACATACGTTTCCGAATTGAAAGAGCAAGTGCTGTCGGAATCTGAACCTGCGGCTAAATTGCTGTCATGTGTCTTGTTTTTATTGGCGAAACATGAAAAACCAGTGGCGGCCAGTGGACGCTTCGTTGCTCAGCTTGTATCGGAACTGGAAGGATTCGTAGACCAGGTGTTTTTTTAATATTTTGAAGTATAATATATTAATATATATATATATTAATGTATATATATTAATATAATGTAATAATATATTAATATAATATAATATAATATAATGTAATATAATATATATAATATAATATAATATAATATAATATAATATAATAATATATTAATATATATATATTAATATAATATATTAATGTATATATATATATTTTATATATAGTATATTTTAATATACAATATATATTACTTAATATATTTTAATATTAATATATTTATTTCGTATACTGTGTATACGTAGTATAATATTAAATTGGTTGAAATGATTTTGTTCAGTTGAATAATATGTTCGATAGAAATGCGATAGGTAAGCTACCAGTAAAATTCATGCAGTATTAATTTGGAGGTTTTCTTTAATACAAAATTTTCTTGCTCTCTACCGAGTGCTTGGTGATATCGTAAGTAAATGCGGGTCATTTTGTGCTGAAGCAAAAATCCCTCTATTACATTTTTTCTGGATATTGAGTGTGGTACTTTAAAAAATGAAGAAAGCCTAAATCAGTAGAGCGAATTTCACAGTTTAGAATAATTATAGTATTGTAACAAGCTGAGAAGGAATCCGACGTTTCCATCGGGAAGTCCAGCTAAGTGTAAACCAATACCAGGAATTACCACCGTCCTAGTATCGTATTACTCGCATGGTGGCAAATCTCCCTCTGATCCGCATGGGCAGCGACTACCTGGGTTGGTTACGACGTGTAGCAGTCTTTGGCTAGGCTGATCTTGGGACTCCAGGGAACCACAGTAGCTAACCCAGCAAAACTCCGAAAAAATGGAAATTATACTGGTACTCGCACAATCAGTGAAGACGAGGCATTCAAGTATCAATGTATCCAAGTGTTATACATGAAAATGGTTGGGTAGAGTTTTCTTCAAAATAATGTTAAGGTTTATGAGAACAGAAAACTGCAGTAGTTTTTCATCGAATTTTCTAGATGTACAGAATAGGTTGAGGAACTTAAATCTTAAGTATTTTTGGGCAATCTCATAGCATTTGTCTGCGTAGGATTTCATATAAAGACAGCACTTTACTTTATAACAAAGAACAATAACACCTCGCGTTTGCTCAAAAAAAATTACGAACAACAGCACTTTATCTCTTCTTTAGTTATTTATCCTACAGCATCTATTTTCTTAAACTACACACATTTTTTTCCATAATTCCTTTTTTGTGGGAATGACTTAAGGTTGCCGTTTATTGAATTAGGTTGGTACATATGAAATGTCCGATTTTATTGGTTTGATTTTTCGTGTGATTTTTATATAATGTTTTGTTTTTTATATATGTTTAATATATATTTTTGAACCACAAGGTCTACTTTTACTATATCTAGTATTGCCTTTTCTCAAGATTTGTTGCTTTAATATTTTTATAAGCTTTAGCTTTGGTATGAATAAACGTGATATTCGTGTTCTTTTTTGAACGAGTGGAAGGGTGGACACAGTGCCGCGGCAGGCGCTCGGAATATCATCAAGTTTGGGGTGAAGGTGGAGTTGATGAATCAGCAGTGAGAGCATGGTTCCGGAAATTTCGGTCTGGTGATTTTGGCCTCGAAGATAGGGAAGACTGCGGACGTCTCAGTGAACTTGACGACGACCAATTGAAGGTACTAGTGGAAGCAAACACGCGAACAACTGTTCGAAAGCTTTCAGAACAACTTGATGTAGGCACGGGAGCAATTCCTATTCACTTGAATGGCATAGGAAAGACAAAAAACTCGACAAGTGGGTGCCGCACGAATTAAGCGGTAATTTAAAAAAAATCGCTTTTTGAAGTATCTTTTGCTGTTATTCTGCGGAACAATACGACTTTTCTTGATCGAATCGTGACGTATGGCGGGAAGTGGATTCTGTACTAAAATCGGCAGCGTTCAACTCAATGGTTGGATTGCAGTCAGGCTCCATTATACTTCCCAAAGTCGAAATTGCGCCAAAAAAGGATATAGTGACCGTTTGGTGGTCTGCAGCCGGCCTGATTCACCACAGCTTTTTGAATCCGGGCGAAAGTATTACGGCAGAGAAGTATTGCCAACAAATCGACGAAGTGCACCACAAACTCTAACAACAGCGACCGGTATTAGTCAGCATAATAGGAAGAATCCTTCTGCATGACAACATCCGGCCTCACGCCGCGGAACCAGCGCTATTGAAGTTGAACGAGTTGGGCTACGAAACTTTACCTCATCCGCCATATTGACCAGACCTCTTGCTTACCGACTACCATTTCTTCAAGCACCTTGACAACTTCCTGCGCGAGAAATGCTTCGCCAACCACGATGAAGCAAAAAATGCCTTCAACGAATTCGTCGCTTCCTAGGCCAGCAGAATTTTATGCAACTGGAGTAAATAAAGCTGTTTGTCGTTGGAAATAATGCGCTGATTCTAATGGTGCTTATTTCAATTAATAAAAGCTAATTTAGGAAAAATTATGGTTATACATTTAAAATCAGACATTTCATACGTTACAACGTAATACGTAGCGCGGATCACTGCGGAATGTATGCAAAAGCTCATCAAGTGTTGTGCTTTTTATTTGTCAGTATTTAGAGTTCATTGTAAATACAATCCAAGTAAACGCTGTGCTTCAATGTTATTGAAATGGTGGGTAAAATAAGAAAGTAATTTTTTATTCGATCTTCTATTTAGCCTACTTTCGATCTTTTGGTGTCATGTCAACGACTGGTGGTGCAGTGCCTCAAGTACAAAGATGATGAGGAGGCTAAAGCGATGCTGATATCGGATATCGAGAAGCTGAAACAGAAGGTCATTGTCTGAAGTTTATCACTGTTCTGGGGATTGTTTTCTCTGAACTGATTTTCTTTACCATCCTACAGTTCTTTTTTATTTTGTATGGGATCTGATACAGTTTGTACAACATTGTTAGCATTTCGGAGTGGTTGTTGTGGTGAGTTTGAGTGTTTATGGATCGTGTAGGAAGAGTGGATTAGATAAGATCATCTACCTGGATAGACATTTCTTTCAAGCAGTAAGTTTGTTGAAGTTAGAGTATTATCGATTCTACAGTTTTTTTTTAGAAGAAAGCTTACTAAAAATGTGCTTGTAGTGTTGTGATTTTTTCGTTGTATTGTTTCGTTGTATTGGTGTAAATCATAATTTATTAGTATCGAATCTTTTCCGCACATCCATTACATTAGAGAGGTGCAGGGCTTTCTTAAATTTCCTAAATTATTCAATTTTGCCTAATTATCGATTTCTTGTGATGATTCTTTCTTGACGTTGTTGTGGAATCAAGACAAAGCAGGATCTTTATGTTATGGAAAGCGAAAAAATAAATGCCGTCTACAGTGTTGTGTTATTAAGGACGTCAAATCCAGAAGTATTCAGGCCTGAGCTAATCGTAGAGTCAACTTGAGTGCTATTTTTCGTCCTATTTCTCATTTTTTTTAAAAAAAATGTTTTCCAATAAAACCATGGTACGAAGAAAATAAGTGTTATTACTACAGCTGCTTTGTTATTGTTTCCATTTCTTTTTCTGGTCATTTTTTTCGTTTTTTCTTTTTTTCGTCATTTGATCCGTCACCACGGGAATGGTGCTAGTTCGATTCCGCTCCGGGCCAAATAAGCCGGTCATCCCTCCGTGGTCGGGAAATTGGTGCCGGACTTCTCTGTGAAAAAATCACTCTCTGCAATCCAAATTGTGAACTCTCCTGCCCGACTTTCTCGGGCCTCCAGTGTGAACTGCTCGACCAGCATTCTACGACATTCAAGATGAAGTGAGAATCCTCAAGTAGCAACCGAAGCCACACGTTAAAGTTTGAAGACCTCCACGGATAATGGATGCGTGGAAGCAAATCGAATGTGAGAAGTGCCGGGATCTGCACAGTAGATGTGAAGACGGGTCATATAAAATAAAAAGTAAATTTCTCTTTCTGCAAAATATGTTGCATTTGGAATAACAAACAATATTCGGTACACTTATAGGATTTTTACTTATTTGGTTACTTAAACGGCTGGTCTTCACTGTTTGTGTGGACCCCAGCATAATTTCCATTTTTTCGGAGTTTTGCTGATTTAGCCATTGTGGTGCTCTGGAGTACCGAGGCTAGCCCTACCAACGTCTGCCGTAGGTCGTTCCTATCGCAGGCACTCGCCGCCCTTGCGGATCAGAGGGAGATTTGCCAGTATGCGGTCAACTTGATACCAGGGCGGTGGTGGGTCCTGGTACTAGTTTACTCTTAGCTGGGCTTCCTGACGGGAACGTCGGACTCCCTATCAGCTTGGGAGACTCTACTGGGGATGGATCCCACCGTTGTATATCGCAGCGCGACAGCCAGGAACACCTCCCATCCACGATGAGGCGATAAGCCATAGGGAGGTATAGGATTTTTAATCTTGTAAAATGTTATGAAGGCATTTCAGCTTGTTCCATCTGGATATAGTATATCATGGTGTAATTTGTCTTAGTTCTGTCCAACTATTCTCTATGATAGCGGAGAAACATACTGCTTAGTTATTACTTCCTTTCTCATGCTGATGAATTTGATGTTTTTAATCCTACTTGACCAATGAAAACATAACATGTCATATGGATGTAAAGCAGCTGCTATTCCCAAGCGGCTGGTTTGAGCTGTATGGGGTTCACTTTCTTTCTAGTGGCTTATTTTGGCGTGCAGTATTCTTTTCTGCACTGCAATCAATCGGTAGCTTATTCAACGCAAATGCCGTGGCTGGCGTCGGTCGGGGAAAGCTGTTTTCTAAACTTGGAAGTATACAAAAAACATGTCTTTGAACGACTTCATTGGTCAGTCATTTTGACTTACAGTTGAAGTGTTACTTCAAATCTAGTCGCCAGAATGAGCCACATTTATTTTACGGAATGTGCTGATATAAGGAACACGGAACTAACACATGGTGCAAAGTACTTGCAAATGCCGGCAGAAATGTGCATGCATGATGGGCCATAAGAGGGCAAAGCTCTAGGCGTTGATCAATTCTTGAGGGTTGCGCCATGTATTCTACTTCATTGAGCATCGTTTGGAGGTGATTGTATGCATATCTGGCCTTTACAATGGCTCGCGGTAGCCTACCGTTGTATCGAGCCAGTGCTGCTATCCTCTCAGATAAGTCTGGTACCAATTTGCCGAACCCGGTGGGATGGAAGGCTTGGTTGGCCATCTGTACGGGGATCGATTCCGCGTGTATGTTGCAGAGTGCCTCTGAACACTGCGCCACACGCGCCCCTTTGATGCAAACTTGTGCTCCCCAGATCATTCCCGTTGACGGATGACTGCTGAAGGCACCGTTGGCGTAGATCAACGTGCGTAACACTCATATCGAGATAGAATGATAAAGCGTATTCTCTTCTAAAATCTTGTCATGTCTACAACCTCTAAAGCTCTCTAGTTGTTGAAAAAATATTTTTCTATTGTCGAAGAACTAGAACGTCCGCAGCCGACTGGAAATTGCTCATATTCTTTTGATCTAGCCGCCTAAATGGGAGGCCGTCACAATTCGTATGACTCATTTTCCTTCCGGTTGCTTCTTTTGATGCGCAGAGTTTTTTTCCCTTGCAGTTCATTACATCGGTAATTTCTACACCACATATGTTATGGTGTTATGCAAGACTAGATCCTCAAAAATCTACTTTGTACACCCTCAAGTACACAAGAGAAAATACAATCAATGCGACTCGTTCATTCGTCTTCACATGACCTGCACCATTTCCTTGCCTACTGTTAACAAAGCACTGTCGTAAGTAGGGTGGATAATAGGATATTTATGCTCTAGGGTCCAGTGTCGGACGGTAGCAGTCATGTGCGATTCACATCGTCCTCGATGAAGTTACTGGATTGCTTCTTACCTCGCTGCCTAAGCTTACGGAAACATTCATAACTACACTGAGCAGTGTGCACTAGTGCTGAAGAATGTGTAATGTGTTTTTACACGTCAAGCGTATAGGACAAAGTATACAACTTGGTGTTTTTAAGCTTTTCTCAATAAGAGACTGTAAACATATTTATTTATGTGATCTTATAAACTGATCTTCTTAAGCTGGCGCGAGGTTGGTACAGATCTTCGTTGTCGCTGTCGTTGTCGTTGTTTTTGATGTTATTGAACGATGGCCGACGTTTCGGCGAATTCGCCTTCCTCAGAGCCTGGACGTATTTTATATTAGAATACTTTTATTATCCGGTGAAAAAAAGGTTAAACTTTTAATGAAGATCAAACTTTCAAACTTTCAAATAGACGCCATATTGAACAGAAAGGCCATTCACCGTGATGTTACGTGCGGGACTGGCCCACACGTAGTTCACGCGAGCAAGACACGCCCCGGGGGCAAAATATCATTTTGAAATAGGGCGCCAGGTCACGTGTGATAGTGAGGCATTCGTCCTTCCGGTTCATCTTTGGATCTTTGAAATTTATCCAAAACGCCTCAAGAGTTTTGCGCGCTGATGTTTTCGATTCCTGCGCTAGGATCCGCACATTCACTTCAAAATCATCGCCGTTGTGTTTTTGTGCCCTATGCGTACCTAGAAGTGGTTTAAACGGATTTTAGCTTTCCCATCTAGATGTTCTTTTATGCGGACACAAAGTGGTCTACCCGTTTCCTCAATATATTCCTCGCCGCATGCATTACATAAGATCAAGTATATTATACCTAAACTCTTGCAATCCCCGTCTCTCCCGTTAGGACAGATCATACAGTTTTCTGAGCTGCACAAACGATCATAGAGACTGTTGCGAACTAACTGGCGGCGTAGGGTATTGAGTGGGATGTCAACAATCGTTACATAATTTTCAGGACCACTTTTTCTTAAGCACTTTTTAATGGCGTGACTTACTTCATTTTATATGAAGGGCAGCTTAAAGGGAATCTTATTTTCGTCTGAAATATTATTTTGGGAAACTACCTAACGTTTTCCTCTAACCCGAGTGGCTTCTACTTCGTAGCCATTGGAAATGGCAATTTTTCATGCCAGGTTTCACGATTCCTTCCTTTCCTCTTCTCCTGTACACACATTTTTAGCCGTACGATACATATTTTTGATAAGTGCTTTTTTCATGTGTGAAGGATGAGAGCAGAGGCAG